TGATAAGAGACTCTTTATTACTTCTTCTATTTTGTTACTTGTTATTGATCTGTTTATGTTTTGGATTTCTTCATGGTTCAATCTTGGTAAGTTGTATGGGTCTAGGAATTTATCTGTTTCTTCTAAGGTTTCCAATTTATTGGGATATAGTTGCTCATAATAATCCCTAATGATTCTTTGGATTTCTGTAGTATCATTTGTAATGTGTCCTTTTTCATCTCTGATTTTATTTATTTGTATCCACTCTCTTTTTTCTTTAGTTTTACTAAAGGTTTGTTAATTTTATTTACATTTTCAGAAAACCAACTTTTAGTTTTGTTGATCTTTTTTATTGTTTAGTCTTAGTTTTGTTTTGTTTTTTCCTGCTCTGATGTTTATTATTTGTTTCCTTCTAATTTTGTTTTTGGTTTGCTCTTTTCTATTTACTTGACATACATTGTTGGGTTGTTTATTTGAAGTTTTTTTTCAACTTTTTAATATAAGTGTTTATTGTTATAAACTTTCCTTTTAATACTATTTTTGCCACATCTCATAGATTTTGTTATTTCCATTTTTATTTAAGAAATCTTAAAATTTCCTTCTTAATTTCTTCATTAACTCAATGGTCATTTGGGAGCATATTGTTTAATTTCTATGTGTTTGAATAGTTTCTTTTGTCATTGACTTATGGTTGTATTCCATTTTTGTTAGAAATTGATATGATTTCAGATTTTTTCAGAATTGTTATGTGGTGTAAAATATGGTCTATGCTTGAATGTTTTGTGGACTGAGGAGACGAATGTGTATTTGTAGTTGTTGGACAAAATGTTCTGTAAATATGTGTTAGGTCCATTTGGTCTATAAGTAACCTTAACATTTGTAACCCCATAATATGCTTAAATAAAAAAAAAATAAAATAAAGTGCAGATCAAGTCCAATGTTTCTTTGTTTCCTGTGTGGATGATCTGTCCAATGTTGAAAGTGGGTTCGAGGTCCCCTAATATTATTTTATTGGAACCTCTCTCTTTCTCTCTCTAGCTCTAATATTTGCTTACATATCTGGGTGCTCCAGTGTTGGGTACATAAATATTTATAATTGTTATATCCTCTTGCTGATTTGACTCATTTATCATTATATAAGGACCTTCTTTGTCTCCTTTTATACTTTCTGTCTTTCAACATATTTTATCTGATGTAAGTATAGTTTACTTACTACTGCTCTTTTTTTGTTTTCATTTACATGGGATATCTTTTATTTTCAGCCTGTGTCTTTTTAAGTCAATTTCATTCCTTGTAAGTGGCACATAGTTGGATCTTCTTTAAAAAATCTATTCAGCCATTCTGTGTCTTTTAATTGAAGAATTTCATTCATTTGCTTTCAATTTTATTCATAATAATTTTTTACTACTGCCCTTTTCTTGTTTGTTTTCCATTTTTTGGTTGCTTCTCTTTTTATTTTTTCCTTTTTCTCTTTCTTTGTTGAAAAGTGATTTTTGAAGTAGTATGTTTTAAATTTTTTTGTATCTGTTACAGATTTCATTATTTTTTACTCTGGCACTTGCAAATAGCATCTCATTACCAATTATTTTAAACTGTTGACAACTTAATTCTAATTCTGACTACAAACAAAACAATTAAGCAAAGAGAAAACTAAAAATTTCTACACTTTATCTCTCCTGTTTTTGACTTTTTGTCTTTTTTCATATCTTTTTGTACTGTATATTTCTTAAAAAGTTATTGTAGTCATTGTTTTTGATACGTCTTTTAGTCTTCCTACTAAATATATGAGTGGTTTATATATGCAATTACAGTATTAGAGAATTCTGTGTTTATCTGTGTACTTACTATTACCAGGTAGTTTTATATCTTCAGATGATTTCTTGTTGTTCATTAATATACTTTTCTTTCAGATTGAGGAACTCCCTTTAGCATTTTTTATAAGACAGGTCTGGTGTTGTCAAAATCCTTTAACTTTTGTTTGTCTGGGAAAGTCTGTATTTCTCCTACATGTTGGAAGGATAATTTTGCTGGACATAATGTTCTAGGCTGGAACTTTTTTCCTCCAGCTTGTGAATCTATCATCCTACTCCCTCTTTGCCTGCATGGTTTCTGCTGAGAAGTATGCTGCCAGATGTATCAGAGACCATTTATATGTTATTTGCTTCTTTTTCTGCTGCTTTTAGGATCTTTCCTTTGTACTTGACTTTTGAGAGTTTGATTAATATATGCCTTGGGATCTATCTGCTTGGTGTCTTATAACCTTTTTGTAACTGGATATTATTATCTTTCTCCAGGTTTGGAAAGTTTTCTGTTATTATTTCTTTGAATAAACTTTCTACCTGATCTCTTTCTCTATATCCTTTTACAAGCCAAAACTCTTAGATTTGCCCTTTTGAGGCAGTTTTCTAAGATCATGTAGATATGCTTTCTTTTTTCTTTTCTTCCCTGTGTATTTTCATATAGCCTGTCTTAAAGCTCACTAATTCTTTCTCTGCTTCATCAATTCTACTGTTAAGAGACTATGATGCATTTTTCAGTGTGTCAAATGAATTTTTTAGCTACAGAGTTTCTGCTTGATTTTAAAAAATTATTTCAGTCTTCTTGTTAAATTTCTCTGATAGATTTCTGAATTCCTTCTCTGTGTTGTCTTGAAGTTCATTGAGCTTCCTCAAGATGGCTATTTTGAATTCTTTCTGAAAGGTCACAATATCTCCATCACTCTGAGATTGGTCACTGATGCCTTATTTATTTTATTTTATTTTATTTTTTTGGTGAGGTCATGTTTTCCTGAACATTTCCTGAATGTTCCTGATGCTTGTAGATGTTCATCAATGTCTGGACATTGAAGAGTTATATATTTATTCCATTTTTTGCCATCTGGCATATTTGTACTTATCCTTCTTGGGAAGGCTTTCCATATATTCAAAAGGGATTGATTCTTGTGTTCTAAGCCAGTGGTCACTGCAGCACTAGGGGTGCCCTAAGCCCAGTAATGCTGCGACTCTTGCCTATTCCTTGAGCTATAGTGGGCTAAAGCTTTGGTTCTTATGAATGTGCCTTTTTGCACAGTTGTTCAATTTGGCATTTCTTTGGTGGTGGATGATCACTGGATGGTTCTCTTCATCAATCTTGCTCTGCCTCCTCAAATTTATAATTTTTGATAGTTTCTAGTGATATGTGTTCAAGTTCATGAATCTTCAATGTATTCTTTTAAAAATCTGTAGATGTTCTATTTGTTTAGATAGATTGATCTTCCATATAGCTATTTAACATGCTCAACTGATCTTTACCTTCTTCAACACATGCCATATAGTATAATAAATATTTTAATATCTCTATTTCTAGCCTCTGTTTAATTTCTGTGGCTGTTTCTATTAATTGATTTTTCTTCTCATTATAGGTTATGTTTTTTATTTCTCTGCATGTCTGATTAAATGCCATACCTTTTAAATTTTACCTTTTTAAATACTAGAAATTTTTATAGTTCCATAATTATTCTTGATTTTTGTTTTTTATGTAGTTATGTGGCAACAGTTTGATACTTTCATGGCCTGATTTTATGCAGGACCAAAGCAGTCTTAGGGGTAAATTTTTTCCCAGTACATAAGCAGTATTCTCTTGAGTGCTTTGCATGATGCTATGTGAATTCTGAGAGATTTTACTATGGCTGGTGGGAACATGTAAAATTCTTGGCCCCAAATTAACCTTTTCCCTTGGTTTGTTCTTTCTAGATTTGTTCTTCAACAAGGATGGTTTTTCCTTCTTGGTTTGTTCTTGTCCCAGTCTTAGGTAGTTTCCTCAAACGTATTCCCTGAGAAATATTTAGCTAAAGATTCAAGGGGGACCCTTCTGCAGATCTCTAGAGCTCTTTTTATGTGTCACTTTTTCTTATTTGTTATTCCACTCTGCAAACTTTAGTTGTCTCTATCTTCCTCGGGCTCTTAGTTCTGTCTCCTCATCTCAGTGAACCTGCTTAGATTTCATCTGGGTTCTCCCTCTGTGTGTTGCATCCTGGAAACCCTCTCTAGGCTGTAAGCTGGGGAGTCATAGGGCTCACCTCATATTTTTTTCTGTCTTTTAGGGATCACTGTCATCCCCTACCTGATACATAGTATGTGAAAACTGTTGTTATATAAATTTTGTCCAGATTTTAATTTTTTATGTGAGAGGATAAATCTGATCACTGTTTCTATGTCTGGAAGTAGGAGTGCTCATGTAATTTCTATCTTTATGGAAGCAAATGAATTGTAAATAAATAAATACACAAATATATGTCATATCATTTATATAGAATATATAAGTACATTTTTATGTTTTCTCATTCTCCTTTTCTTCTTCTGTCCCTCCTTTCTTTCTTCCTTTTCTCTCTCCCTTTCTTTCTCTTTCTTATTAGTTAACTTTCTTTACATAATATAGATAATGACTCATAAAACTGTGTTACTATTTATTTTCTAATATGGCTTTGTTTTGGTTTTTTTTTTTTTACCTTATTTACAGTGTTTATCATGTAGAAATTTTATGTTTTTATGTACTCAAATATATCAATCTATTTCTTTATGATCTATTGGTTTTAAATTATGTTTAGAAGGTTTTCATATATACCAAAATTACCAACATATTTACCTAAATCATTCTTTTACTAATCCCATGATTTATTTATTACATTAAAATCTTTGACTCATTTTAAATTTATTGTCATGAAAGGTGGATTTAATCAGTTAAAGAAAACTCAGATGAAATGAAATGGATCTGGATTCTCAATTCTTGTTTTACTTCATGGGAGAAAAACTGCTACCTTTCAAACCCCTAACTGTCATTTTTTATTCAAATTGCTGCAGTACTAAACATCTGTGTTATGTAATTTAATTTACATCAACTAAGACTAAGATTTTTCAACTCTATTTACAAAAATAAGGATAAGTAAAAAGCAAAACATCTGTTGATAAATAAGTTAATTTCTTCTTTGCTCATTAATATTGTGCTAATTAAAATGTTAGAATCCTTGACTTTTATTATATTAGACTCGGGAGACCTGGTGTTGATTGTTATTGCCAAGATGAAAGTGGTGCAGCTGTCCTGCAGCTACAATTTTTGATCAATGAGGTAAGGATTTTTTTTACAATTTCAAACACCTCCCCACAACACACTATATTAATGGTGTAATCTTTTTAATATTATGACTTTAAATGCCTAAAGATATATATCTTTATATATATATACATGTATATTATATATATGTATAAAAATATAATATTATTCATGGTCATCTTTTTCATAAAAGATTGTACTCCTATATTTGTCAATTTATTACATTTTAAAGAAAAAATATTTTTATGTACCAGATCCTGTTACTGTAACTATAATGTAATTTAGATTCATTTTAAAATTTTTTAAAAAAACCTCAAGTCCTTTAGTTGCTTCATTGACCATTAAATTTTTGTTCTATCTACTCATTTCCCACCAACTTCAATTTTTTAATCCATCCCAAACTTCATGTTTTGTCTTTATTTTCTGTGAAATAATCTTTTTACTTATTTACCTTTGGGCCCTTTTATCCATATATATCTCCTAATGCATTTGTTGGTATAAGTATGCATTTGTATTTACTTTTGTATCCATGGCTATTATGGCAATTAGCTGTCAACTCTGTCCATATTTTCATAGAACTATGGTTATGTGGAACTCTCTAAACACAAAATGTGTATCTGTGAAGCTCAGAGAGGTTACAGATATTTCATTAATTGAAAGCTACTTAAGATCGTCTTGAATCATGTTTTTATGATGGAACCTGGAGTCTTTTAGGGTTCTTTTAGGTTAAGTAAACCTGTCAATGCAAAAATGCTTTAAAAGTTTGTGCCATACCAAATTCAGGCACTTAGAAGATAAAATTCAGTGTCTTGGAAAAATATTTGGTTGTTTTCTCAAGGCATGACAATGATTTTTTTAATTAAGTATTTGCATATATTTGCATATATCTCTATATATTAATATATATCTTTCTAAAAATTTACAATATAAATGTGGGTAAAATGGCTCATAGAACTTTATATCAGAGAGATGCAAGAAAAATTAGTGATATTGGCAAATGCCCACTTACCACTTCTCTTGGCTCAAAGTCTTTCCCAGAAGAATGTGAGATTCTCCTTATAGGACAAAGCTAGCATATTTCACCTTATAGGCACATGTGATATGGGTTACCAAAAAGAGAAAGAAAGGTAAAGAATAAAACAGAAAATGTTTAAAAATATTTTATTGTAATAATTAGTCATTATTATCTAGAATATCAACCTTTCTTGAGGTCTCAGTGCTACTCAGTAGTTCCTAGTTGAGGGATCTCAGCTTTTTGTCTTCTGCATAGATGTATACTGGTAGATATAATTTTCTTTCATGTGATTTGCACTGAGTCTGATCCTCTGAGATTTGTCCTCAAGCCTCTAAGTTTGCCTCTATACTGCATAACTAAGAATAAAGATAAATCTTCAACCTCCTTACATTGTTCACATGATCTACCCTGAACTGCTCACTTTGACCCACCTCACACTCAGCTTCTATACCTTTTCCCAAACTTTCAAGTTTCTGATATCATGAATGGTGTTTCCCTCCACAGTTATAAATATTTTCACAGATCTTCACATATAGTGCTTTGGGTAGGTTCACTTTGCTTTTGTAAATGAACACTAGACAATCTACTGATGTGCTCATTTTCTTGTCTAGTCTGGTCTTTGTAGGTGCTATTATGCTCAATAGTCCTGTTCATTTTCTTCCAGTGATAAGTTGCATCTCAATTTTATCACAGAATTAATGACACTAAGTTCTTCCCTACATTTATTCAGGTATTACTAAGATATTACTGAATATATGCTGCTCTATTTTAATTCCATTGTCTTTAGCATGTTTTATCTTTTGTATAGTGTATGGCTATGTATTGTAGAGAATGTTTTATTTTATATATTGTGTTCTATTTTCACTATATCCCAAGTGAACTTCTACCTTTCTGAGAAATGAGATCAGTATCTTGTATCTCAAAAGAAATCAATTGTAGTTTATCAAATGTTTCCAAGTAATCTTAATAACTTTCCAGTTTGCATATAGGAAGCATATTTACAGTATACAAATAAAACAAGCAAATAAACACAAAAATCCTCGGGGCGTATATAGGGTGCATCTTATTGCATAGTATAAAATTATTTATTAGTTTATGTTAAGATGTATATATCAATGCATACCTCTTGGAACATGTATATTTATATTAATATAATTACATATAACTGTAAATTATACATTTTTTTTTACATTTTAATGGATAAACTCTTCGATTATGATCCTGTGTTTATAAAGCTATTCCTCTCTGAGACTAAAATCATAGGTACATAATGTAAAGAGAACCATCATGGGATACATGAGCATTTGGGGCCTAGGAATTGTTTTATTAATAGAAAGAAATTTAGATTTGTCCCTTCTTCTCTCTTCTAATTCCCAAAGAATAGATAAATCCTAGAGATTTCAACATAGTTCTTCCTGGCATCTAAATGGAACAATCATTTTTAGATCTATGATTTATGTTGTAAAGGTTACTTAAAACAAAGTACCTTGGAAAATATTTAAAGTATTTTAGGCATCAGGACCACCATGGTTCTGCAAGATCAGTTTTAGAGAATACATTCAATGCTCTAGCTTTAAGCTCTAGCTTTAGGGGTAAGCACTGACATTTTCAGCTGGGAAATTATCATTATGGTAAAAGTCCTGACATATTTTGAGATGGTCTTACTTAACTCAGTTAAATAGTTTAAACATATATATATATAAAGTCATACATAGCAGTTAGTTATCTATCCATATGCTTTCTATGATATCAAGAGATGGAAAAAATCCTCTTGTATTTGAAATAGGATTCATTGTATTCATTTGTATTTGGTGGTGCTGTATAAAAAGAATCAGTATTTTTATAGTTATACTGAATTGTAGTTGCCTACATGTTCTAGATCAGGGGTCCTCAAGCTTTTTAAACAGGGGGCCAGTTGACTATCCCTCACACCGTTGGAGAGTGCACACTGTGGGCCCAGGACGAGTCAGCTGCTAAGGAGGGCACGCAGCGGTGGCAAAAACACCTGGAGGGCCAGATAAATGTGCTAGGCGGCCCGCATGTGGCCTGCAGGCCATAGTTTGAGGACGCCTGTATGGTTTCCTTTATAATAGATGAGGCTTCTTAGGCTGTACAAAATAAATTAAATTATACCAAATATGCTTTTTGTGAAGAATATATGTTTTCCAACCATACAGGAAATCGTTGCAAAAGAGAATTTTTATATGAACTGTATTCAATTTATATTAATCTCATTAAACTGAAGTGTCCAATTTTGAATCAAAAGTCTAGTTTATTATCTCTTAAATAAGAAACAGCACAATCAATCAAAGTATGCACCTAAACTATCAACACAGTTTTGCCATCTTAACTTAGATAGCTTGTTTATGCCAGCAGTGAAGAAGCCTGGAGAGTTAGTGGCAATCAAATAATGAAAGGCATTTTCCACAGCTTGTTGAGAATTGAATATTTTTCTTTGCAAGAAGTGGTCCAAAGCCTGAAAGAAGTGGTAGTCAGTTGGTGCAAGGTCTGGTGAATATGGTGGATGATAGAGAGTTTCCAAGTCCAGCTTCGGTAGTTTGAGCATCGCTGTTCGTGTAACATGTGATCTAGTGTTGTCTTGCAAGAGGATTGGCCTGTCTCTATTGACTGGTCTTGGCTGCTTAATTGTAAGCATCCTCATCATTTTGTTCAGTTGGTTGCAGTAGACATCTGCTGTAATTGATTGAAGGTTCAGGTTTCATGAAGCTATAGTGGATAACATCAGCGCTGGACCACCAAACAGACACCATTAGCTTTTTTGATGAATATTCAGTTTTAGACTGTGTTTTGGCATTTCATCTTTATCCAATCATTGTGCTGCATGTTTGCAATTGTCAAAAAGAATCCATTTTTCATGCACATAATACGGTATAGAAATGGTTCATCTTTATGTTGTGACAGCAAAGAAAGGCAAACTTCCAGATGATTTCTCTTCTGTTGCTCATTTACTTCGTGTGGTACTCATCTATTCAGCTTCTTTACCTTGCTGATTTATTTCAAATGGTCCAATATTATTGGAGTAGTAACATCAAACCTTGCTGCTACTACATGCATAAGTTGAGCTGTATTCACTTCCACTACAGCTTTCAGCTCATCATTATCCACTTTGGTCTCAGGTTGCCCACATGGCTCATTTTCAAGATTAAAATCACAAGAATGGAACTTCTCAAACCATCAACATAGTGTGCGTTCATTAGCCACATCCTTCCTGAACACTTCATTGGTATTTCCAGCTGCCTGCACTGCATCAGTTTCATGATGGAACTTATATTTGAAAATAACATGAATTTTTGACTTATTTATGATTTCATAAAAATTACTCTAAAAAAATGTGGAAGATTATCACAAGTCAAAACATGTGTTTGAAAGACTGAGGATGTACCTTCACAATAAACATAAAACAAGAATGTCGAAATGAAATGTCAGAGATATCAACTGTGAAACTTAGTACTTAAGGAAATCTGATATTTCATACTTAATAACCTAAACTAGGTTGGATATTTGCTTCCTTCTAAAACTATACACAATATGTGTGAATAATAGAAACAAAAAAATTTAAGCTTTATTTTTCCCAAAGAACAATCTTAATAGTAATAATGATGCTACAAGAATTAATCCTCTATATTAATAAATGGATATTCCTTGAGCTGGTCATTTGGATGGTCAGGATGACTCTTCTACTTGCCTTTTCTACTTTCAGCATACTTAACCTTCCCAATTGAAATATATGCAACTTTCCTTCCTTAAATTTTTAGCTTATAAGACAAATAACTTCCTTAGGCAGTGAACAATTCAGTAAATTTACTTGTTTCTGCTTCACAAAAACTCTAAGTAAATTACATACTTACTTTTTCTTCTTTTTGTTCCAGGGTGCTTTGGTCAGTGCAAGTTCAGACGATACACTTCATTTGTGGAACCTTAGACAAAAAAGGCCAGCTATTCTTCATTCTCTTAAATTTAACCGAGAACGGTAAGAACATATGAGTTAAACAATTGTTTAATACATAACCGAATTCCTTCCTGAGCAAGTTTCAGATTAAATTGACAGACTTTTTTTTTTCATAATCTCAATAGCTAGAAATTATTTAATGTTTATGCTTGCTTTTATGAAAGTTTATTTTCATATAAAATGGATAATTGATACAGAGTCAGCCATCTACTAAAGGGGAACACCTATGCTTTTTGTTCTCCTAGCTATAAACCAGCACTTCAGCAATGACGTATTCTTTTCCCTGGTCCAGGATACTGAAAACCTAGACCTAAATCTAAAAGTCAAGTAAATAATAAATAAATTTCCACTTGTCTTGATCATGACAATTACCTCCTACACTCTAACCCTTTTACTTAAGTATCTTTTTATATTAAGGAAAACAGACAAAAGTTTTAGATATCAGAAACTGATGGTATTAACTATTGAGCAATACTAAACATCCAAGATTCACATTTTTAAAGATGATAATTTGATCAGAATTCAGATCCCTCCATTTTAGAAGGAAATCTCAATGATCAAAAAGAGGAAATTATATGAATGCATATGGGAAAAGTTATTAGATTTTATTTATAATAAACTGTACCACATTTTAATCTTTCTAATGTTGGATTCAACCAGACCTAGAACATAACACACATTCACTTAAACGATAATCCATGTAGAGATGCAGTAAAAATTTTAATTTAACTGTATAATAATCAGATACTTGTTCATCATTTGGGAAACAAGTTCTTTGCAGTGAATGGGAAGGAACATCACAGAAAAATTTGATGTTAATAAAAAGAAGATACTGATGGAAAATGGCTGAGAAAAGAAGGAAAAAATAAAAAAAAAAAAAAAGAAGAAGAAAACCTCTGAGAAGTAAATTTTCACATATTTGCAAGTGCTATTTAAACTGAGGAATGAGCAAGGTGAACAATGGAGGCAAGAAGTCATTGGCCTACATCGTAAGATAGTGTGCATTTTATTTTATTGAATGATAATTGTTGATAAGGAATCACCACTATATGATTGAAGTAAACCTGTTTTTATAAATATGGAGAGAAAGGAGGATGCCAGCTATACAGAGATTTTTACTTCTGATGTAGGGGTGTTCCAATGAAGGGAAGAAAGCCCCTTAAACTCCTCAAGTGGGTTATTGGCTTTACACATGAAAAAATTCAAGAGCAAGCCAACTAGGGACAGAAAGTTTATAGTTCCTACTGCACAAAGTAGGGGTGCTTTCCTGAGCAGGATTGGGACTCACTATGAGGCAATGGTAACATTTTCAAATGTTTAGAAACCCTATACATAACCAGCATTTTCTTGTGGTCAGGTCATAAAAGTTAATCATAAGTTGTTGTCACAGAAAGGCAAGCACAAACTTTAAGGCATCCAGCTGAGCAATTTATCCATCCTCAGTTGGTCCCAGACCCATGAATTGTTGATGATTTCTTTGTTCAGAGTGGTTATAGTCTGGTATTGGTCAAAATGTCTGCATTTAGGCTCTCACAATTTTCTTTTTTGCCTTATTCCTATATCACTTCTACCTCTAGCTTTTTATTTTTCTTCTCATGTGCATAATATACTATCTAAATCATTAACTCTCAATATTCTAAGTAATATTCATTAGTATTATATCTCAGTATTTTATGATTCACAATCAATGGAAATATTTTTGTATTCAATCTTTTTTTTTTTAATTTCAAGGTATTACAGGGATACATGTTTTTGGTTAGAAGGATTGCTTTTGTAATGCTTGAGTCAGGGTTATAAGTCTGTCTGTCACCCAGATAGTGTTCATTGTACCCATTAGGTAGGTTTCACCCATCCCTTCCTCCCCATTCCACCCTGGTTGATTTCCATTGAGTTATACTTCCCTCTATACACATGTGTGCTCATATGTTCCAATTTAATAGTGGTGTTTCTTTTTCCATTCTTTAGATACTTCACTTGGGATAATGGTCTCTAGTTCCATCCATATGGTTGCACAAGGCCTCAGTTCAACCTTCTTCATGGCTAAATAGTATTACATAGTATACATACCACATATCGTTAATCCACTCATGAATTATTGGGCATTTGGCTTGATTCCATGACTTTGCAATTATGAATTGTGCTGCAATAAACATTTGAGTGCTGGTGCCTTATTAGTAGAAAGACTTCTTTCCTTTGGGTAAATACCTAGTAGTGGGATTACTGGATCAAATGGTAGGCCTACTTTTAGTTCTTTAAGGAATCTCTATACTGTTTTCCATAGAGCTTGTACTAATGTGCAGTCCCACCAACAGTGTATAAGCATTTCTTTCTCTCTGCATCCATGCCAACATCTAGCTGGGCAAGGAGATATTTCATTGTAGTTTTAGTTTGTATTTCCCTGATGATTAATGACACTGAGAATTTTTTCATATAAAGCTTCTGTTCATGTCTTTTGCCCACTTTTTATTGGAGTTGGTTGGTTTTTTTCTTGCTGATTTGCTTGAGTTCTTTGTATATTCTGGTTATTAGTCCTTTATGAGATGTATAGCTTGTGAGTATTTTTTTCATTCTGTAGGTTATCTATTTGCTTTATTAATTATTTCCTTGGCTGTACAGAAGCTTTTCAGTTTAATCAAGATCAATTTATTTATTTTGTTGTTGCTGCGATTGGCATTGGGGTCTTCTGTATTTCTTTGCCTAGATTGCTATCTAGAAGAGTTTTTCCAACATTTTCTTCTCGAATTCTTATGGTCCCATGCCTTACATTTAAGTCTTTTATTCATCTCCAATTAATTTTTGTGTGTGGTGACAGATGTGGATCCTGTTTCATTCTTCTGCATGTGGCTTATCTAGTTGTCCCAGCACCATTTATTGAATAGGAATTCTTTTCCTCAGTATATATTGTCTGGTTTGTCAAAGATCAGTTGGCTGTATGAGGATGGTTTTGTGTCTGGGTTTTCTGTTGTGTTCCTTTGGTCTATGTCTCTAATTTTGTGCCAATAACATTCTGTTTTGGTTATATAGCCTTATGGTATATTTTGAAATCTGGTAATATAATGCCTCTAGATTTGTTCTCTTTACTTAAGATTGCTTTGGTTATTCAGGCTCTTTTTTGGTTGTAAGCAAAGCATAGAATTATTTTTTTCTAGATCTGTGAAATATGACATTGGTATTTTAATGGGGATTGCATTGACTCTGTAAATCATTTTGGGAAGTATGGACATTTTAACAATGTTGATTCTACCAATCTATGAGCGTGATATGTTTTTCTGTTCATATCATCTGCAATTTCTCTGCTCAGCATTTTATACTTCTCTTTGTAGAGATCTTTCACCTCTTTGGTTAAGTATACTCCTAGGGATTTTATTTTCTTTGTAGCTATTGGGAATGATATGGAGTCTTTGATTTCACTCTCATCTTGACTGTTATTGGCATATAGGAATTCTGCTGATTTGTGTACATAGATTTTGTAACCTGAACCTTTGCTAAATTTGTTTATGAATTCCAGGAGTCTCTTGGTGGAATATTTGGGATTTTCTGGATATAAAATCATATCGGGCCGGGCGCGGTGGCTCACGCCTGTAATCCTAGCTCTTGGGAGGCCGAGGCGGGCGGATTGCTCAAGGTCAGGAGTTCAAAACCAGCCTGAAGCGAGGACACCCGTCTTCTACTATAATAAAAGAAATTGCCAACTGAATATATACGTAAAAAAATTAGCCGGGCATGGTGGCGCATGCCTGTAGTCCCAGCTACTCGGGAGGCTGAGGCAGAAGGATCGCTCGAGCCCAGGAGTTTGAGGTTGCTGTGAGCTAGGCTGACGCCACGGCACTCACTCTAGCCTGGACAACAAAGCGAAAAAAAAAAAAAAATCATATCGTCAGCAAAAAGCAATAGTTTGACCTCCTCTTTCCCAATTAGGGCATGCATAATTTCTTTCTGTTGCCTGATTGCTCTGGCTAGGACTTCCAGGACTATGTTGGTTAGAACTGGGTGCCAGTGGGTATCTTTGTCTTGTTTCCATTCTTAGTGGGAATACTTTCAACTTATTTTTCATTCAGTGTGATTCTGGCTGTGGGTGTGTCATATATGGCTTTTATGATTTTGGGATATGTTCTTTCTATGCCAAGTTTGTTGAGGGTTTTTATCATAAAGGGGTGCTGAATTTTGTCAAATGCTGTTTCTGCATTTATTGGAATGATCAAAATGATCATATATGGTCTTTTTGCCTGTCTTTATGAGTTATATCACATTTATTGATTTTTGCATGCTGGACCATCCTTGCATCTCTAGGATGAAGCCCACTTGGTCATGGTGGATTATTTTTTTGATGTGCTATTGAATCTGGGTTTTAGTAATTTATTGAGGATTTTTGTATCTATATTCATAAGGGATACTGGTCTGTTGTTTTCTTTTTTTGTTGTTTTTTTCCTGGCTTTGGTATGAAGGTGCTACTGGTTTTGTAGAATGAGTTGGGAAGTATTCCCTCCTTATGAATGTGTTATGCAGTAATTTCTACAGTATAGGTACCAACCTTCTTTACACACCTACACCTTCTTTGTAGGTGTGCTAAAATTCAGCTTTGAATCCATCTGGTCCATCCAGGGCTTTTTTTGTTTGTTTGTTTTGTCAGAAGGTTTTTTATTGCTGCTTCAATGTTGTTTCTCATTATTGGTGTGTTCAGGATTTCTCTTTCTTCCTTACTAAGTGTAAGGAAGTTGTGTGTTTCTAAGAATTTGTCTATTTCCTCTATGTTTATGAGTTCATGTGCATAGAGTTTTTTATAGTATTCACAGATGATATTATTTCTTTTTTTTTTTTTCTTTTGATACAGAGTTTCACTCTGTTGCCTGGACTAGAGTGCCATGGTGTCAGCCTAGCTCATAGCAACCTCAAACTCCTGGGCTCAAGCAATCCTTCTGCTTCAGCCTGCCAAGTAGCTGGGACTATAGGCATGTGCCACCATGCCCGGCTAATTTTTTCTATATATTTTTAGTTGGCCAATTAATTTCTTTCTAGTTTTA